GGGAAGTTCCAGAGAACTGGCAAAACCTAATGTTTTGCCAATATTTTTAAAAGGTGAAAGGAATGACTCATGTAACTGTAGACCAATTGGTTTGGAATTAGTCCTGGGCAAAATCATGGAACGGCTGATCTGAGAGATGCAATCAGTAAAGAATGGAAGGATGGCAGCATAATAATTCTCCATAAAATCAGTTTTAATAAAAAAATGTCAACTAGCTCTCATATTTATTTTTAAAGGCAACTATCCATGGATCCAGGCATTTCTATAAACTTTAAAAGGAAATAATGTGTGAAGGGGATTATTACAGAATATTATCTCCTTTATACTCATTTGATAATACACTACATACAAACCCCTATGTTAATTAAATGAACGTGAAGGTTGCAAGTCAAGCACACAAAAGTAAGGAAATGCCAGAGTAAAGGTTGGGATGGGATAATTTAGTCGGGGATTGGTCCTGCTTTGAGCAGGGGGTTGGACTAGATGACCTCCTGAGGCCCTTCCAACCCTGATAGTCTATGATTCTAAGGTTGCCTGCGCAACCTTAATTTCAGAGTCATAACTTGGACAAATGTGGATGGATTTTCACAGGGATAGGAAACGGTACATCCCTGACATCAGGGTGACCCTGTGGCTCAGTTTCAAGTGCCTGCTACAATGCATGGAGTTGCTAGAGTTTCTCAACAAAATCATTTGAAGTATTTTTTAATGTATAAAACCAACATCATTTCCCCTAATTTTATGCTTGCAAATAACAACTGTTCTTGCTGAAAATTTCCCAAATAATTCAGCCTGAGGCAGACACCCAACATGGAAAATTTCAGTCCAATGGTCAAAGTTTGGCAAAGCCATAAGCAACTAAAACAGGGTCTTAAAATGTGAAGTGTCAGGTAACCTTGAGCATAGGCAGCAGAACCTGTAGTGCTAATAATATTCCATATTTCAGTGCTAGTCCTACAAATGTATAATTATAACAACAGTCCATTTGCCATCATGGAACTATTTGACTGAGTAATGAATTTCAAAAGACTCTGAGGCCATTCCAGCTCCCCCTGTCTGCCTATGGAAGGTCTCTTTGAGGTGAAATTCATACACTACCACAGAAGTAGCTGGACATGGGGAGGCGTGCAGGTGGTGAGCAATCTGTGCAGCATGGAGTCCCACTTCCCACCCACCACCTTTGTGGAAATGAAGGGGTGGGAGAGCTTAAGCCATAGGTAAGGCTACTCCATGGATCCCTTCCCTCCACTTCTGCCACATGGGGAAGGGTGAGGTGTGTAAGGCCTTGCAAATCCTGAACATTTTTCTCAATTACTTGGATCAGAATATAAAATCATCATTGATACAGTTGGTAGATGACACAAAAATTGGGGGAATGATAACTAATGAAGAGGTCAGATCACTGCTACAAAACAATTTGGATTTCTTGGTAAGCTGGGCACAAGGAAACAATATATGTTTTAATATGGGCAAATGTAAACATCTTGGAACAAAGAATGAAGCCCACACTTACCGGATGGGGGACTCTATCCTGGGAAGCATGACTCTACACAATTTGTGGGTCATGGTGGATAATTAACTGAACATGATCTCCCAGTGCAACACGGTAGCCAAAAGGGCAAATGCGATCCTTGGATCTATAAACAGGAGAATCTTGAGCAGGTACAGGAAGTTTCTATATTTCTGTACTTGGCACGGGTGTGACTGCTGCTCAAATACTGTGCCCACTTCTCGTGTTAACAGTTTCAGGAAGGATGTTGATAAATTGGAGAGGGTTTGGAGAAGAGCCATGAGAATAACCAAAGGATTAGAAAACATGTCTCATAGTCAGAGAATCGAGGAGCTCAATCTATTTAGCTTAACAAAAAGAAAGTTAAGGAGTGATTTGATCACAGTCCCTACATGAGGAACAAATATTTGACAATGGGCTCTTCAATCTAGCAGTTAAAGGAGTAACACAATCTAGTGACTGGAAGTTGAAGCTGGCAAAATCAGAATGCAAATAAGGTGTACATTTGTAACAATGAGAGTAATTAACTATTGAAATAATTTAAAGAGGGCTATCGTGGATTCTGTATCAGTGGCAATTGTTAAATCATGACTAGATATTTCTCGCCAAGATCTGCTCTAGGAATTTTTGTGGGAGCAGTTCTCTGGCCTGTGCTACACTAGATGATCACAATCGTCCCTTCTGGGATTGGAATCTTCTCCAGCCACTGGGTTCTGGAGCATTTCAGCAGCCTTAGGACAGTGGAAGGGAAGGTGTCTTTGTCGGGACACCTCTTGTGCATCTGTCTAATGCTCAGCTTGGCCATCCAGGCCAGACACTGTAGTCAGGAACTACACAGTTCAGGAGATCTTGCACACACAGAAAAATATCTCCTACTGAATTGAATGAGAGTTGAACAAAGTCTTCTGAATGTGGCCTTACATCAAGAAGTCTGCCATTTACCTCTTCCCACACGTTCCACAACACTACATGCAGTAATTCTCATCTGCTGATTACACTTCATAACTGAGCATTCAAACAGTTTTTCCACATACATGAGGGCTCATAAACATTCAGTAATATTCATGTCATTTTTCTGTATTCAAGCATTTTGTCAATTTTCTTTCAGTCTCTGCTGAATCTTAATTGCACCATATAATGCCTGAAAATTGCTTTCCATTGATCTTCACTTACGATGTGTGATGTCAAAGACTTTGAGATAAATATAGAATATTTTCATTTGTGAATGTTAAAATTTATCTTCATTTTGCACATGATTTGTGGTTTTTCTAAGGGCACTGAGATCATATTATTTGACTCATACCGGTGAAACTGGAGTAATTAATTTTTTGTTTTCCACAAAATTTGTTTGTTTTTCTCAAATTTGGCTCAAAAATATAAGTTTAGTAAAATTGAATTTTACAAATTCTAAGATCAATATTAATATTTCCACATATGTTTTTAATTCCGTACGTTTGTTTCCCTGAGCGCATGCATTTTCCTCTACAGTCTTTGCAACTCAAACATTGCGGCATTGTGTTACTGTATGAGAATTTAAAAATAAAATTGACTAGAAATGGACCAGTCTGATTATCATTGTTCAAACTGACTCTGAGAGACAAGCACCCTGCTGCTGTCAGATTCCTGCAGTGGTTTCCAAAACAATGGGGTTTTGCTGTAAGATGTGAGCTAATTTCTTTGAATTCACACTCTGTAAAAAATTCTATCAGGCTTCAATCATTTCTTCGCTCCCCTCCCCACTTTCTTTCTCTCCAATCCTGGAAACTTCATCTGCCTTGTTGAGATCTAGAAGCAGAATATGTCCCCTTGGCTGCAATTTGTCTCTTGATATGAGAGTAGGGTTTTGACCGCACACCACTAAAAGGCATATTTACCAACCGTGAACATGCAGGCTTTAACCTGAAAGACTGAGAAAAGCATAGAGGTCACATCAGAAGAGGTTATGTTCCTGTTTTTAATAACACTACAAGAACTAAATACACATAATGGTACAGATAAAAAAGTGATGTGGCACACAGTGGGATGGATAGTACATCATAAAACTATTTCATTGCTAATTTCAGTTAGGTTCCTTGTTTTGTCACGGTAATAAATCACACCGAGGCTACACAGATTACCCCAATCTCAGCAAAATAATTGCCTTAGAATAGCTTTCCACAATCCTGGGTCCAAAGAGTGATGAACAATAAATTGGATTGCATTGACTCATTCGAGGAAATGGACTTTTTCTCGTGTTTCCTTCCAAGCCACCTGTGGATTAAACATCAATGCTTGCGAACCACAGTCATTTCAAAAACATAGAGTCACTGGTAACAACTGCCTTCATTTAGAATCAAAATAGACAGGCCAACCTAAAGCTTGATTAAATTTTATGAGGACCACAGACATCGTTCATTGAAGTATTCACCTAGTCACTTTTGCATGGCATGTTAAGATCCATGGTGCCAACACTAAGAAAAAGATGTCAGGCAGCACTTGTTAAAAGAAAACAACAAAATTTCTTTAAACACTTTGGAGTCTTCTTGGTCTTGATTCTTCTACCACCATATTCAACATCTGTTGACTACGGGGGCTGAATTTTGAGATAAATCTTGTCACTCCTTTATTTTTAAGATTTGCGAGGCAGGTTTAACCATGATACACAATGATCGCTTCATTATGGGCACAATCCTGGAAGTATTTACTGCCAGGCATAGTGCTAACTGCCAACATAAATCAGGCCATGAGGTCGTATGGGGATCAGGCCCTCGAAGAGGAAGAATACTTTCAATGGCAACTAATTTCCAACTGAAAAAGAACCAAGACTTTTATTTCTGATAAATGCTTTACAGCCCCATCCTATGGTTGAGGCTGAATATTAAAGACATGTTATAAACTCAAGTTGAAGTTTAGTACATTAATTATGTGATTGGCTAGACTAAAGCTGAGGCCGTAAATCACATCCGACTTTGTGGTACTGCATCGCTGAATCAAACTCTCTATGTATGTCTTTTAATGAGAGATCCAGATTTCAAACACTCACTGTACAAGAGTTTTTTGAATCGTGAGTTTTGGTTAGGACCCATCCCTTCTTTTAACCTATCTTAAGCCAATGAGAAAGTCAGGATTGATTGTAAAGTTTGTCGTCAGTTTGCTCTCCCAGCAATGCCTTATGTCACAGTCTTGACCACAAACGTCTGCAGACATAATGAAGGATATTTGATTTGTACCTTAATGAGACCAATGGCAGCAATTTTTGTCCTTGCACCAATGAAACATGCTTAATAACCTACTTCATTACCAACCTTGCTTTAATTCAAGCATTAGGCATTAAGTCACCTAATGTGTGTTACCAGAGATGCAAATCTTATGTTAAAAATAAACCCACTGGAGCAGCCGTGGTATTACTGTGGGACACACATGGATACTCAAAATGCTTTTGTTCTCATTCTCTCTGCTAGAAAACACCATTTTGCAGGAAAACTCATTACCAGCACCTTGGAAAGCTTACCTGTAACGAGGAAGCTGCATCGGCCTGCCCCGGCTTCATTTATGATGTTACAATTATAAATCCCATAACTGTCCCTGGAAAGGCTGCTCACTATGTACTCTGTAGAATCGTGAGCATCAAACTGACCAGTCCGCAGCAACTTGTTGCCTAGTCTCCACTCATATGTCAGAACCCGAGTTGGATACGCTCTCAGCACCCGGCAACTCATAGTGATGCTTCGACCCTGGCCCTGTCGAATCTCCAGAAACGTTGGTTCCACAGCAGGAGGATCTGTAGGAGACAGATTATTAGAGAAGATAAGCCACAAAAACAACATGAGTATGGCAAATAATGATAACATGTCCCCAGAAGGGTTACAATACGGTGAATCTACCTTGTGTCCATGAGATTAGAGATGGATACCCATCAATGGGAACATTGGTTAAAAAAAGTAACACATCCAGAGTACTATATTGCAATGTTTTTTAGTTGATGTCCATTAGCGGAGATAAAACTTAATTTTACAGACAGCTACAGTGTTCTGGTTTTTTGTTTGTTTTTTTTAAAGGAGAGGAGGAGACACAACAGGAATTATTCCTTCACGTGATATACTGGGATTGGATTGCAATGGAGAATAGGGGCCCTCCAGGGTGATGGAGACCTACAACAGCTATAGGACCATGAACTCAGAGAAGAGACAAAAAATTGGACATGAATGGAGTTCAGATTGTTTGAAAAACCTACTACTTTGATGTTTGTATTCCCAGACGGTGAGCCTCCTTGCAGGGTGCCAGGACTACAATGAGAAACATGGTATAAGAACCTGAACAAAATAGAATAGGGGTGATACCCTGGTACAAAACTCAGCACCTTCTTCCTTTGCAGTGGCTGAGGGGGATATGAGATAATTTGGTAAGGTTCTCACCAGGGTATTGCCTCCAGGAAACCAGGTGGGCAGTCCTGTTCTTGTCTTTTCCATCTACCTGTTTAGTTGGTTTAGTCCCCCAGTTAGCAGAAGCCTGGTAGTTTTCCCATACCCTGATCTGAAATACTATTTAAAGCTATTTAGATTTGCAATTTAGCACTTTGTCAGACTTTGACGCGAATGGAATAAAAAATATGTAAAAACTGATATGCTTTAAATTTCCACTGGCTTTCTAATTGCAAGGCAGAAGTATTTTTTTCAAAATCAATACTTTTTGGAAAAAATGGGTTGATTCTGACAAAATGTTATTTGAATACAAACCAAAATGAAATATTTCAATAATGTTGAAACACCCCGTTTTGACATTAAAGGAATGGAATGTTTTGTTTCACAATGACTTTTTGAAATCAAACAAATTGTTTTTATATAAAACATTAAAACAATTTACAATGGTCAAAATCAAACCAAAAATATTTCTTTTTATAGGTTTTATTTTTTTTTTGCACAAAAATTTAAAATCTTATGGTTTTCATTTCATCTTTGAATGAAAAAAAAAAATTGCCACTGTAGAATTTCCCAGGAAAAGAAAATCTGGTTTTTGCTCTGCTCTAGCCAGAACTTTCTGAGTGGCTCTCTAGATCAGAGAAATCGGAGTACAAAAGGGGAAGACATTTGGTGGTGGATAAGCACAGTTTTAGAGAAAACTCTTAAAAGCTGTGTGTCATCGTTATGCTCCTTTCAGACCAATAAAGAGAAGAAACCTGGAAAGGCTCCTACTCCAGAAACACACGAGAAATCTACATATCACTATTAAAAGGACTGTCTAATAGGTCTAACTTTCAGAGCCAACCCTAGGTACAGTTATTACATATTGCATGAAACCTAGCTTACTCATTCCAAACCCATCAAGACTCCCAACAGAGAAACTGCTCTCTCGTATGAAGCTTTCCTTCTGTGTGACGGGTATTAATGGGGTAGAACTTTCATTCAAGGAACTGCCTGTTGAGAAGTGAAGACTTTTGCGGTTGTGTTTGAAACCATGCAGTACAAGAGGCTTTGAATGGTGTGATAAAAGAGTGTACAGTCTATGGAGCACAGAAAGTTACAGATCACTCCTGTTTCTCGGGAGGCTGATTAAACTCTCTTTCTCTGTCCCTCTCTCTCTTTCTTTTCCTTTTTTTTGGCGCTTTCCAAAAGTCCTAAGGCAGATTTCATCCCATGGTAAATGTCCTGTCTTTAAAGGATGAAGTAAAATGTAAAACCTTTAAAAATAAACCAAACCTCTCAAAGTGAGCTGTTTAATGGACTGTAAAGCAGCCTTACATCAAGGAATTTTTAGTAGACACTGGCTATGGCTGCAGCCATTAAAGGCCCTGCAATGCAGCCACTCTAGGACTAAAATTTTCATCAGGTAGGATTTATCTGCACTGTATGGCACATTTCAAATTGTTCAATGTTAATAAGTAAAAGTCTTGCTGTGATAATGATACTAGGTTACTGTGGAATGGAGCTGAGTGAAAACTGGGACTTTGGTCCGGTGGGAAATTTTGATATTTCAACCTTTGCTTTTGCTCTGATGAAAATAAGAATGGGGATATGAGACACCTAAACTACAACTCCCATGAGGCAACGTGGCAGCTTAGGCAGATGCCAGTTTGACAATAAACTGCTTCAGTTTGATTGGATGACTATACATGTTTCAATTCAAACTGACCCCAAACTAAAACAAATATTTCATTTAATTTTTCCCCTGGAATTTTTAAATTTTGCTGAACCTGCATTTCCCATTGAAAAAAATCCTTTAGCCAGAAAATAGCTACTGGAGAAAAATCTTTACCGAGTGTGTTTTGTTGTTAAAATGTTACTATCATATAGCAGCATCTGATCCAAAACATATTGTTCCTAGATTCTTCATAGATTTTACCTTATTTAGCAGAGATCCCAATAACCTTCAAATTGTTGGCATTGAACCCAGGCATGATGTAAACTGAAAATGGATACCACTACTAGGGTGACCAGACAGCAAATGTGAAAAATCGGGACGGGGGTTGGAGGTAATAGAAGCCTATATAAGAAAAATAGTCCCAAATCAGGACTGTCCCTATAAAATTGGGACATCTGGTCCTACCCACACAAATAGGAACTGCACCTCCAATGGTAAGGCGATGCTAATTGCCTGCCGCTTAAAGACGACTCATAACGAGCATACTTTAAATGAAACTAAACCTTGTAGCATACAAGTTTCAGACAACATTTGTTACAGGCGATGGCATTCAGCTGTTGTACTTCATGCCTGTGTAACAATCAGCAAGACGTTTTTCAAATGATTGTAAGCATCTTGAAAGTCATAGGGAGGGAAAAGCATCTCTGGTGTGAAGGAAAATACATGGGCAGAGATGGTCATGCAAAGCAGAAGAATTTTGTTCATAGTATGTTGAGGTAGCAGAAGTTAACTCTGAGACAGCCACCTCTACATAGGTGCTCGGATGAACAGACAGAGCACAGATGGATCTGCACATCCATGATGCCAAACCCAATCCTCCTGTGCATGCCCTGTCCCTTTCCATCTTTTGTGGCCCTCCAGTTCTACTACCTCTGGGGCCCCTATACCGCTGGCAGCTAGGTTTAGACCTTCATCAACAGACTAGAGCAGCAGTTCTCACACTGCGGCTCGGGACCCCAAAGTGGGTCACGACCCCATTTTAATGGGGTCAGCAGGCTGGCATAGACTTACTGGGGCCCTGGGCCAAAGCAAAAGCCCAAGCCTGAGTGCTTCAGCCCTGGGCGACGGGGCTAAGCTTACGGGTGCCCTGCCTGGGGCTGAAGCCCTAGGGATTCGGCTTTGGGTCTCTGACCTGGGGCAGTGGGGCTTTGGCTTTGGCCCCCCCGCCAGGATGGTAGGGCTTGGGTGGGCTCAGGCTTCAGTACCCCATCCTGGGGTCCTGTAGTAATTGTTATTGTCAGAAGGTGGTGGAATCTCCTTCCTTAGATATTTTTAAGGTCAAGCTTGACAAAGCCCTGGCTGGGATGATTTAGTTGGGGATTGGTCCTGCTTTGAGCAGGGGGTCGGACTAGATGACCTCCTGAGGTCCCTTCCAACCCTGATAGTCTTCTATGATTCTATGAAGGGGGTTGCAGTGTAATGAAGTAGAAGAACTGCTGAATTAGAGATGAATTGGGCCAGATCCTCAGCTGGTGCAGTGACTTCCACGGCGCTATACAGCTGAGGAAGTTTCCGGTTAAGTGTTCCAAAGAACGTAAAGCTTCTAAAACAGCAAAATCCCTAAATCCTTACCCTGATCTTGTTTCCAACCTCTTCCTATTAATGTATTATGTGTACAGAAAACTTGTAACAGTTAGACAGATAGATACACTGTATAGCTGCAGGCAAGGCCATATTCAGTAAAGTGAGTGGAGATCATAGAATCACAGAATATCAGGGTTGGAAGGGACCCCTGAAGGTCACCTAGTCCAACCCCCTGCTCGAAGCAGGACCAATTCCCAGTTAAATCATCCCAGCCAGGGCTTTGTCAAGCCTGACCTTAAAAACCTCTAAGGAAGGAGATTCCACCACCTTCCTAGGTAACGCATTCCAGTGTTTCACCACCCTCTTAGTGAAAAAGTTTTTCCTAATATCCAATCTAAACCTCCCCCACTGCAACTTGAGACCATTACTCCTTGTTCTGTCATCTGCTACCACTGAGAACAGTCTAGAGCCATCCTCTTTGGAACCCCCTTTCAGGTAGTTGAAAGCAGCTATCAAATCCCCCCTCATTCTTCTCTTCTGCAGGCTAAACAATCCCAGCTCCCTCAGCCTCTCCTCATAAGTCATGTGTTCCAGACCCCTAATCATTTTTGTTGCCCTTCGCTGGACTCTCTCCAATTTATCCACATCCTTCTTGTAGTGTGGGGCCCAAAACTGGACACAGTACTCCAGATGAGGCCTCACCAGTGTCGAATAGAGGGGAACGATCACGTCCCTCGATCTGCTCGCTATGCCCCTACTTATACATCCTAAAATGCCATTGGCCTTCTTGGCAACAAGGGCACACTGCTGACTCATATCCAGCTTCTCGTCCACTGTCACCCCTAGGTCCTTTTCCGCAGAACTGCTGCCTAGCCATTCGGTCCCTAGTCTGTAGCGGTGCATTGGATTCTTCCATCCTAAGTGCAGGACCCTGCACTTATCCTTATTGAACCTCATCAGATTTCTTTTGGCCCAATCCTCCAATTTGTCTAGGTCCTTCTGTATCCTATCCCTCCCCTCCAGCGTATCTACCACTCCTCCCAGTTTAGTATCATCCGCAAATTTGCTGAGAGTGCAATCCACACCATCCTCCAGATCATTTATGAAGATATTGAACAA